GTGGAAGGCTTCAGAGTGTTTAGTGGTACCGCATAGGCGGCAACGCTGGTTCTTCCCACAGTTCCTTGAGTTATGCCACACCCAGCACTTAGAGCACTGTGTAACAGTAGAGACTTTAGTAAGACGCTTAAAGAAGGCTCTTCTTCCAAAGAGAGACGTCATTTCAGGGATGGTGTGAGGGGCCCTTGTGTCCTTTTCCTCAAAGAATACTATCCAAGAGGTGTAGAACAGCCCGTCAGAGAGAGAGCTCGTAGCCATGTCAACCTTTGTAGGTATTACTCTCATTCGCTCTTCTATAGCCGCAGTAACTACACTAGGAGTAGTAGGGATGAGGGTTGATATAATTGCTCCTTTTTCATTGATCTGGACTGTTTCAACACTTCGAGGGATCCCTGATAAACGGAATACTGCCCAGTCTTGCGAGGCCTCTATTCTGGCTGCATGGAACAGGGTTTGAATAAAGGCCTTTTTTGTTGATAAGAGGGTGGCTCGGGCTTCCTTGCTATTAGGTACAATAGCAAAGCCAGAGTTAACTGACAGTACTTCTTGTACAAGCTCGCTACAGCCAATTTTTGGGTCGCAGAGAGCAAGGTAGATAGCTAGAGCAGAGTGTTTCCTTTCAGGAGCGTCTAGAGGTAGTCGGATAAAGACTCTGAGGTCAGATTTGGCTAGGGATCTCTTGTTCTTCTGTAGCTTCGAAGTGACAGGAGGAGGTAGGGGGTTTTGTGGTGTTGCTGTATCAGGCGCTGAGGCATCTTTTATGGTCTGTGCGTAAGAAATTTTTCCCACAGGGGCCAGAGAGGGGGATGAAGTCGAGGGGGATGTAGGGTCGTCCCTACACCTGTTGGGGGCTCTAGGAGCTAAATGTAGTAGAGGCGGGGCCCCTGAGGTGTATGTTCGGTGAAAGGCTAGGCTAAGGTCGGCCACCTGTGTACAAAAGGCCCTGAGGTAGGGCAAGAGGTCCGGAGGTGCTCTATCAAGAGCAGTACTTAGGTGGTGGTCTACAGCTTTTGCGGTGCCTCCAAAGAAGATTTGGCCTATAGCACCACGTTCTAGAGCTTCAGTGGTCCCAGAGACAAATTGTTGTTGTATGTTGGGGAGGGGAAGAATTGGGCGTACCCCCCCTTTCCCTATACCCCTTCCTAGGGGCGTAGGCGTGGCCGGAGGCCTCCTTAGAGGAGTCTCCATGGAAGGAATTCAGCTTATTAGGGAGAGTAAGAGAGATTGAGCGTTTTAGAACCAAAAATTCAATCTACGAAAAAAGGTGTCGTGTGGTTGATGGTTACTGGTTTATATTTTACATGTCCCTCAAAGTTTTACGTGTGAAGGTATATTAGCATATAGGGATTTTATCTATTTTGGTCTCCACTGCTTATTATTTTGCTATATCACTCGCATTTCAAAAATGTAGAACAAAGAAAAGCATTTCAATTTTGTGCTCATCTAGAGTACGTACAAAGTTTTGTCTTTCGTGTTCTCATCTAGAGGACATACATGTCTGTGTGTGCTATCGCAGAATTATTTGGTATGGTTTCGTCTTGTCTTACAACGCCAATAAAGTTCCTCTGCTTCGTTGTTCAGACTCTGCTTCGTTGTTCAGAAAGAATCTGCCAATGAACATTCCAAGCAAACAAAAGAAAGAAAGAAGTAGAGAGCAGGCTCTGGGCCAATGATTCCAATCTATCAAAATGGCTCTGCCAATTCCTGTGTTTCGTGGTCTGCTTTCAAGTTATCGTATCATATGGTATCGTACCAAGATCGAACGCTCATCAAGAGTCAAAAATCAAACCTTCTATCACACCCAATCGTACCAAACTTCAAAAAGAAAAAGAAGGGTGCAATATGAAAACAATCCAGCGAGCAAACTTACATTACCTCTTTCAAAGGTTTCAGTTGTTGCCAGTAAATCCTGGACCATCACAAGGATCTCTGCCAAATCGGGCCTTGATAATACCAGTTCCAAACACAGGATCGTTCTGTACATGGGTCATGCAAGTTCTTGCCTGTTCAACTCTTGAAAACCGGAACTCCAAAGCTGCATAACCTGGAATATCACAGCGAAGGTTGAGATATCGATCCCATTGAACGTTGCAGATGTTGTTAAAGTATTGGATCCACCAGGGACGGCTCATCATATCGCGTGGACCTTTCAAAACGACGACGCGGGTGATGTAGAGACTTGGAATTGCATTTGTACCGCCATTTGTGGTGTTGTAGCGGACCCAAAGTTTTCTGTTGTGTTGGACAAGAGGAGACATTTCAACAAGCCGCTGGGCAGCGACGGGATTGGTGAATGCTACAAAAGCTGACACTGGAGAATGGTGTTAGTCACTCTTTCTGTCTTCCTTTCTATCTTTAGAAGTTTTTCAGGATTTGGCATTCACTTACTTGTCATGTGCTTTGGGGGTTGTGGAGGCTTTAACTTGAGGCTGCTGACAGGACCAGTGTGGATCAGATCAAATATATCACAGTGCTTCGTATGAGGTGAGATGTTCTCAATAATGATGGCGCAGTTCTCGGAATTGTCTGTGAATTGAGCCAACTGCTGTTGAAAAGGGCCTGCAGGGTGAGCAGCTTGTCTCATGTATGATCCGCCCCTGGTATAGTCAGGCTCAATCGTTCCCAAAACATCGCGATTGACATATTGTGGAGCTCTGACGAACCCCCGTGTATGATGAGAGCGAATAGGAAAAGCGCTCATCTCAAGTCTTTGTATGATTTCGATTTGTCTATCTGTAACGTGTCGAGGAAAGATAAATGGAGCATCAGACGTGGGAGAAAAGGCGGAGGATGCCGAATGAGGACTGGTTGGAGATTCTAGCGCCATATTACCCATCCATGGGACTTTTGGGGCATTGAGTGGGGAAGGACTAAAGATATCGCTATCGCCTTTCTCACAAAGTGCCTTAATACGTTCAGCCTCATCTCGTGCCTTTTCGTGAGCTCGTTGCTCGGTAAATTGCGGGGCTCCATTTTCAGTCACGAAAAGTGTTTCCATTGAGGATGGTTGATTGGAAGTAAGAGATTGATATCCTGGACGTTGATAGTCTGGAGACACTGGCGACCGATAGTATTCTTTGCTCATGCGATTCAAATATTGGTATGCTACTGGATTCTCAACCCAGGTATCAACTCTGAGCATTCCCAGTCCTCTTTCAAGCTTTGCTGTTGAGAAGGGAGTGGGTGCATTGACGTTCTGGTCAATTCCAAGGTCATGGTAGCTTGTTACAGTACTGCTGTCCTCTGAAATGGTGTCTGCGAACGACTGCTTCCGCGTACCATCAATGGTGGGGAGATTTGGCATTTGCATGACCCAGGAGGGAATAAATCCAGGTATGTGAGTCTTTTCTGTCCAGCTGTCAGTCCTGAAATGAGTTAAACAACAGGAAGAACTTACGCGTAAAGCCTGTGAACTTGTCCTGCCAATTGTTCGCCATGTTTTCTGTTGGCTCTGAGCCCATGCGACTTGCCATCTTGTTCATGGTGGGTGCAAACATGCAACACACTATCCAGGTCGGACGCGTAGATGTTTAGAGAAGTTTCAACATCACGGGACAATGGCTTGGAGGTTATATTACCCTATGTGGCAGGGGATCGGCGCTTAGCGAGACCGACCACCCAGCCTTGTGTCCACAGCCCTCCAATGATGGCGGGGTACTACGCTTATGATACACCGAACTCAATTATCTCTGATGGTGAATTCCATGATCATTAATATCTTCTGCATCATAGCCTTAGTTCCTAAGTACTTGTGATCAGGTGTTGGCTTATAGATGTTGCAGGTTTATTTTCAATTTAGTCATACACCTGAATTTGGAAAGATTCATCAACAAGGCTGATGACAGTGGGGACGGAATGGTGGCAGCAGTGCCCTTTTCAAGATATAGCAACACTGCGGAATGTATGCACTTAAAGCTATAGTATGAAGCCATCTCGCACTCAATATATCTCTCAAACACTAACTGCCTACCTCCTGGCGACCATTCAAGTAAATACCGGAATTGGGTCTCGTAGCCCAGATATGCACTGTTCCTTACGAGGAAATGAATACCTTGTCAGTTGAGACATCTACCTTCCAAAATATATGGATTACCAAGACAACCTGAAACAGAAATGAGCCGTTCCTGTAGGCCATAAGAAGAGGGGAAGGACATATAGTTCGACTAAAGCTTACGTAGTGAATCTGTTTTATGGCTGTGTACCTTGCTCACTGAGGGAATTAATGTTCAGCAATCGGCTAAAGTAGCACCTAATTAACCTTTTCCAGGCAGACAATGCTACCTCCATACCACCCATTTCTTTGTTTCAAAAGCGACTAGTAACGCAACGGTATGCCGAAAGTGGGTCTTCTGTCTTAAAGTGATAGAGTCTGCGTCAGTGAGAATGATTTGCTTCCTCTATGAGAGGAGAACGTTGACCTGCTTCCTACCTTGCAAAAAAGCATTCATCCTTCTCAGTAGGGGTTGCCCCTGTTATTCCTTATCACTTAGCTCTCTTTGTCTCAGTTATTTGCCTTTTGAGAAGTCAAATCTGCCATAATTCCACCATCCTTCTGATGTTTCAATCTTTTGATAGAGTACTCAATACAGCAGTAATCGCACTAGCTCGTTTTCTCCGTTAAATCCTTCTCTCCTACCTAGATAAAACCTTATTCTCTTTCACAAACTTGATTGCCTAGCATGTGACTTGTATTTCACCTTTTCTGCATAAGCTGTTTCAATAATGGTCGACCAGGGTAATTCCTGCTTGACGCGTGATTACTACAGTCATAGAACTGAAAAGTCATCTGCCCTTCATTCTGACAGAAACTCCCCTTTCTATACAGAAATGCGAATGACTTGCTTGTCATCATATCTGCATTAGATACATTAGCGAAATCAATGATAATCTGAGCAGTTGTCTATCCTTTGTAAAGAGATGTTATGAGGGGGCATTTCTGCATTGTGTGATTCTTTTGTCTATCGCAAGTAGATTTCACTCTGCTCAAGTCAAGCTCCATGTCCAAATAGTACCCCAGAGATACATCATCGCTGACGTGGAGTGGTAGCCTCTTCAAAAGCCCTCACTTTGAGGCTATTGATGTTCATATCTAGCTTCTGTCACAATGACACAATGGCTCATGCGTGAAGCTTCGGACAGGTTCCATGGCTTTCAAAAGGTGAATACAATTACAGAATAGCCACAAAAATTGTGGTTGGTCTCTGTTCTGGAGGGAGGGGTAAGTGTTGCCACGTGCTTTTGCACAAACTGAAAGATCATATTTTGTCGTAGTTGCGCGGTCGGCTGTGCTTTTGGTACAACACCTGGTCGCAACCCATAGATTCTCGCGGCAACCACATCTTGAGCTTTCTTTGCGCACCCTCGCTCTGCAAAGAAAGTGGCAAGATGGATCGCAACGAAGACAGCCACCAGGCTATCACTACGGGTTCGACCGACCAGGAGGATCATCCATCTAGTGATCCAGCGGGCACTCATCACGACCGACCAGACGCTGGATTATTGGCGGTTGGCAACATCACGTTCTTTTGCGGGTTAGCAAGACACGACCATACACAAGGCTTTGGTACCTTCGATTTTACAGAGCCCAGTCATCTGGAGTCATTCCACTTCAGGACTGGAAAAGGCTACAAAGGCAAAGAACCGAGAAACCAAAGTCTCATCGCTGCAAAATATCGAGAATATACGAATAAGCATAGGTGGCGCAACCCCCGTCAGAAAATATTACTGTACATGGCTAACGTACTGTATGATAGGAACCGTTTTGAGCAACCCTTTCGACTGCTTGATCTTCCTCAGGAAGTCAGAGATACGATATACGGCTTCATTCTTGAGCCACTGCTTGATGATAAATCCAGTGTCGATGGAGTGACAGGTATTGAAGGCGGCATCTTCTTTTATGTGGAGAGCGGAGAGGACTGGGATCAAAAGAGGGAGGATGATGAAAGTTTCACGATCGTAAGACGATATCCAGCCGATGCTCATCCTGGTGATCCTCAAAACGACCCTGACCACTACCTCAATGTATACCAGAGATTTATGGACGGAACCACCGAGCCAGACGACTATCTCTCTGCATCCGGATTCTTCACTTCCTTCCCTGAACATGTTTCTGTAATCTCAGGTCTCTCCGAATATTCCGAATCTCCAACATTAACAGATTCTGAGGATGACAGCGACTCAGATGATTCGGAGGACGGACTTGCATATGAAGGCAACCCTCAATCAGGTATCGCAGACCATGAGTGGGTACCAGTCTTTGGCTGCAAACTTCGCATCATTCGCAAGACTGCTCGTGAGATCCAGAAGTCCAAGGATGATTGCGCTCGCCACCCGTACGCAAGACAGAACTTTCCATGCAAGTGTGTTGTTGCAGAATTGAATGCTTACGAAGCAATCAGATGTATCTCCCATGTCAGTCGTCAAGTCTCGTTGGAGGTAGGAAATGTCATGTGGAGAAACTCTACCCTGCTGGTTGACGAACTCAATGCCCTGCCCGCTTTTGCCCGTCATCATCCTATGGCACTTCGCCAAATCAAGAAATTGGCATTCACACTTACTTATGAGAAGGATCTCACAGACACATTGACATCGGAGCTATCGTTGACTTTTGCGATCATTCGTCGATACATGGCACTACAGTATATCTCAATCGCATTCCACACAACAAATGATTGTTTACGGGAGGTTCTAGAAGGAAAGAAGATTCAAACTTGGCGTGATCTTTTCAAGAATATGAAGATGAACGACAACATGGCATCAAAAAAGGGGCTTGAGATTCGACGCATTGATGGCATTGATCCGTATGACAAGAAATTGCCTGATCAATATGACAAGCTTCTGGCAGGTCTTTGGGTACCGGATTGTGTGAGAGAATCTTACAGCAAGGAATTGGGTCTCTTGGAATCTTTTGAAGAGGATGCATTGCGAAAGGACAACTAGCGAGTTCATTGTGGAGAAAGGTCTTCTAGTGGTTCTCTAATTGTTTTCCGGCTTTGGCATAGGGTGAGCTGTGGCGAAGTATCTGGACGCACATTCACAGAATTCGAGGGACATTGGGTTGAGCAATATGAGCGGGTTTGGTTATACTTTTCGATTCCGATGGGCTCGAGAAATATGGACCAAAAATAACATCATTTTTGTCTTTACAAAAAGGATGCTGAGTTCCCCTTGTAGATAGAGGTTATGTTTTCTCCATGAAAACGAGAAAGAAGTCTCTCAATTGATTACCACTTCTTCAATGTCTTTGACTTGTGTTTACTGGTGCCTGTAGGGTATAAGATCCCTACGGCATTTGACGTGATTATTGTGGGCTTGATTCTGTCTGATCTCGATGGTTTTATGTACTTTCCCGATCTACGAAAACATCCTTGAAAATAAAGGTGTGCTTGTGAAATGGCTGCGGTCAACAGGGAGAAAAGTGGTATTTGTGCCACCTTAGTTGGCGTGGTTGATTGAAAATCTAATACTAAACCCCCAGTAATCAAATAAATCACAAGATCCCGTAGTCCTTGTCATTTCCTGGACATCCCCCCTATGCATTGACCTGGAGCTCCTAAGTACAGAATCAACTCTTTGGCCCCCTCAATGACATAGAAAAGGTGAAATCAGCTCCAGGTTCTAATGAAATTCGTTCTCAGTAAACACCAGCTACAGTTAAACTGTGCTACGGTTAATCTTGGCAGATACATATATCCTGCGTTTGGCAAATGGAACAAGATTCCATGGAATTCCAAAGTTCCATTTCTTCCAGAAGCCCTTTAGAGCACTACTAAAAGGGAGCCATGGTTTCCATCGAATATGCTCTAGAATTCCATAGAAAATAAAACCTCTAGAGTAGTGTTAGAGATATGTTTTTGTTGGGAGAGCAGGATATTAATGAGACGTCCTCTAGTGAGCTGGTCTAGACATCAACAAAGTATGGTTGGTGAGGGTACTCCAGGGTTATCCATATGCCTTATACAAATATACATGTCGAATCTACCTATAATCCGTAAACAAAGTTTCCTTTGAGTCTGTCGGGTCTAGTAGAGAGAGGTGGTCCTTTTTTCCTGTTATGTGGTTTTATTCTATGGAACTTCTACAGAAAAGAGGTTATGGAAATGAATGGAACTCCAAACGCTGAACGTTGCCTATATTACTATTTATGGATGCAACATGACAGCGACATTGACTTGTTGGACATAAATGCCACTTTCATAATCATCTCGATAGATAACGAGGGTTCAGTAAGTGGTGTCTGAAATCCAGCATTTTACTACACTTTACCCATCCAACAAAAGCCTTCTCGATCTCCAAAAAAATCAGAAATCATCCACATCCTCAAGAAATCCCATTCACAATCACTAAACCAGTCCCTTCCCCCTCAAAGTACTTCTTCCAAACAAATCAGCCATCTCACTAGGCCACTTCAAATAATGACGCATGTTGACTGGCATCTCATTGCATGCGCAGGATATCCAGTCCAAATGAAATCTGGATGACATCGGACGTCTCCTACCCCCAAATTCTCTCTCAATAATTGGTTCCAAAATCAACTCTATAGCAAGAAGGTGCACGAGTAGAATGTGGGCGAGGTGGTTCGAGTGGTCGAGGAAGCTGTTGAAGAATAGGGTATCCATTTTGAGGAGGTCTTGGTAGATGAGTAGGAATTTGAAGTATGCTACGAATTCAATAAGCTGAGGTGTTGTGATGGAAATCAGAGGGCGAAGTTGGATAATAGCTTACATTGTAGGGACGAGATGGCCAGGGAGTCGAGTGTTGATATCAAAGAGTTGTAAAAAGCTGTATGCCAACAATCGAACCGGTCATGTGGTAGTAACTCCAAAGATTTCCTCGCACTTTCTACCAGCCTCTCATCAATAACGGGGAGATCCACGAGCCTTTCTTGCATAACAGAAAAATGATACTTATTCGGTAGAAAAAACGCCATGGGTATATTCTCCGCCCTCAACTGCATAGTAAGCATCGCACATCCTCGAATCATCCGGAAGAACTCCCGCATACCGTCAGCCATGTATGAAGACTGGAACACAAGCAAGTAACAAGAAGCCAACAACGCGTCACCATCAACCCCCGTCCGTGTCGGACGACTCAAAGCTTGATTAGAGCCCGCAATAGCATGGACACGATGTTGCAACGCTGTTGTGCAAAGTGGTGTCCCAGTAACGAGTTGTAAGTGAGTAGCTGCCATACCAAGAATTGCATGCATAACATACTCGTTCTGTTCTGGAAGATCAGCGGATATTGAGTGGTCAGACGCCAGACAGGTATGACGACGTACGTGATGAGCGATTAATGGGACTTGTGTTGTCCATGCGGTGTCGTTTCCGACAGGAAGGTGGGGATACGCGTCTTGAAGGAAGTGATGGAAAAGTCTCATGTCGGCCAGGGAGAAGATTACAGGTGTAGCTTGGAGGTTGATTGATGTAACGGGGTTTGCTGCGTATGCTGAGGATTCGTGGAGGGCAGATAGGGTTTGTGGTTGTGGATACACACAAGATGATTGAATCTTAATGCAGTTTTCACATGAGGGCTGTGTTTCTTGACACTTCATTTCCACGTTAGTGGTTAGACGGTCTTCAAAAACGCAGAGATCTATCTATGTGGGGAATACCTTGATCTTTCTTCGCTTGCAGCTGAAGCAGCCGCGTCTTGACTTTTTATGTCCTTTTCTCGATTCCTTTGGAATCCTAGTGCTGGGAACTAAACCCCCACCAACATAAGGGATCTTCCCCGAGATATTCTCAGATGGAGAAAACCGAGAATTATCACGTGGCTTAGAATTGTTCTCGGAAAGCGTGTGTGGATTACTGAGCGATGGATTTTGCTTTTGGAGCAACAAACTTGGCTCAAGAGAAGAATCGCCTTCATCGTGAGACCGCCTTTGTCCAGGACCCACAGTCCTCATAGGGGCGGAACTAGTTGTTGGGTTGCACAGGAGAATAAGTGAAATGCTCTTCTGAACCATACAGAACTCATCCCACAGAGTTTTGAAGTTGGCATGATAAGATGAGTCCGCAGACTGAAGTTGCGCAAGCGAAACCATTATTGACAAGAGGCTTCAGAAGTCGCTACGAATAGACACTCTTCTGATCGCAAATAATATCGGCTCAACGTCCACATCTGAAATGCAAATTACAATTAGTGCAAAACTTCAATGCGAGTTTATGCTTTTGGGGCCATGAGATTTACTTCAAGTATATCTTGACTTCTCGTAGAAAACATTGTTATAAGAGGCATGAGACGTCGTTGAATAGCTAAGCGCAGCGGTCGCACAGCGAACATAGCGCGCGACAAGGGCTCTATCCCAATGGTCGACACCGAGGGTCCCAATACACTGACGCCCCGGCGTCAGTTTAGAGCTGACTAAGCGCGGATTTTCACGCCCCCCCACCACCGAAATGCGCGCGCGTCGCATTTACATCTACCAGCACTGTACTTTGGACTGTAATCAATGCACGCCTGACATAGCTACATAGCGAAAATGGACGTTCAACTCTCGCTGTCGCCACTGCCCTTACATTCACCTGAGCAACCACTTGAGCCAGCGTCAGCAGATGCCACCCCTCATACGTCTATGCCACTGCCTCCAGAGGCTATATATAGCTCTAAAGAAGAGCTATATACTTCAATTCAAGCCTGGGCAGCACATCATTGCTATGCTTTTCGTATTGGACGGTCAACAAAGATCCATGGCGGTCCTAGGACGAAGATCACGTATAATTGCGACCGTTACGGCCTACCACCATCCGAAAAACATCCGCAACAGCATTTACAAGCACGTAAGCGACAGACAACTACTCGAAAAACTGGCTGCCAGTTCTCAATAGTAGCGCTTGAATGTATAAATTCTCAATGGGAGTTACGCTATAGGCCTGGCGTAGAGTATAGTCTACATAACCACCTTCCAAGTCAATCAGTTAGCTCTCATCCAGCACACCGGAAGCTAGCACAAGCAGAGATAAATCAGGCTAGATCTTTACACAATGCAGGTAAGATAGAAAGTAACTTGAAATAATTTAAGTCTAATATATATTTAGGGATTAAGCCAAGCCAAGCAATTACATACCTTCGCCAGATAACTACTACCCCACTTCAACCGTACGACATATATAACCTGAATGCCTCTTTCAAAAGAGAGCAAAGACATGGACTCTCTCCAAACGACGCCCTTATTCAGCACCTTACAGATAACAAAATACACTTCAAAATCAATGTCACGTCAGAGAACCGGACACAACACCTCTTCATTGCATATCCACAGTCAATTCAGCTTGCACAGACTAATCAAGATGTTGTATTAGTTGATAATACATATAAGACAAATAAGTTTCAGATGCCACTCTTACATATGATTGGTAAGTACCGCTTTTGACTTATTTGTACGCTTATAATACTAAGTATTCATAGGTGTTACAAGCTCTGGATTAACGTTCTCAATTGGATTTTGCTTCCTTCCCGGTGAAACACAGCAAGACTTTATATGGGGATTCCAATGTTTTCAAGAGCTTGGAATTAACCCTGGAGCTATAGTTATAGACGGTGACCAGGCTCAAAAGAATGCGTCAGAAGAGGTGTTTCCGCACGCCCCTACACTACTCTGTATTTGGCATGTAAACCAATGTGTACTTGCTAAATGTAAGAATGTAGTCGGGGAAGAGGATTGGAAGGCTTTTGAGGCTGCCTGGCGTATAGTTATTCAAGCACAGACAATTGAGCAATTTGATAAGCGCTGGCTTGAGTTTCAGACTCAATACTCAAACCCTAAGACTCAACAGTGTGTGGCATACCTACAAAACGAGTGGCTAAAACCTGGTCAAAAGGAGCGTTTAGTTGAGGCTTGGACAAATCAATACTTACACTTCGGTATACGAGTAACCTCCCGTGCTGAAGGAGCTCATGCATATATTAAGCGCTACCTAGGGGGCAAAAAAACCAAGGGGGACCTCTATTCATCATGGCTACTTATTGAAGCAGCTGTAATCAACCAAATTACAGCTGTATCAACTCGTATAAGTATGTTACAGGACCGCGCACCACTTGATATAGACAAGAAGCTATATCAAGGCTGTTTTGGGGTAGTCACTTGGTATGCACTACGACTTGTACAACGACATCAAGAGACTGTTTCTCGGCCACTACTGCCCTGTACTGGTGCTTTTACCCGGGCAATGGGCTTGCCTTGTGCACATATATGCGAGATAAAGAAGGACACTACTGGGCTTACTCCATCAGACTTTCATGAGCACTGGTACTGGGACCGTAAAAGCACTATACAGCCACTACTTAACCCTCTATGGGCTGGTAGACAGCGTATAGTAAACGCAGAGGTTGCTCACACAGGCCGCATTCTCTCAAAAGGGGAGAAAAAAGCAAAGCAATTACCTAAATGCTCTGCATGCCACAGGCAAGGCCACACAATGAGTAGCCGTAGCTGCCCGTTGTAACTACAAGCATCAATTGCTGCTCAAAGCCAGATTCTCCTTGAATTAGATACAGTACCCACATCACCCACATTATCCACATCACCTACAGCTGGGCTAGCCAGGCTGTTTTTTCAGCTAGGTAGGCCAGAATTAAGACTTCTGGCCGATCTGGTGAAAGCTGGTTAGGTACAGTTGGTGCTAGAGATGCTAAAGGTGCTGATGCTAGAGGTGCTGAAGGTGCTGTAGGTGATGTGGATAATGT